CATGGCAATTTACGTAAACTCTTCCTCTCTACCCATTGTTTTAAAAGGTTGAAGAATCGAACATTTAAAGGAAACCAACTGCAGCTAGAGACCAGCTAATATTTATCCAGCCAAATGAGGAAATGTCTCGGTATCTGTGGAAAGGTTGCCTGGAAATTTATTTTAATAATGGGAGAAGCAGTGGATTGTTGTGGTATTAATCTTTAACCTCTGCAGTGAAAAGCCTAGCTTAATTTTAAGAGAATTAAATTAGAGGTAGACTTATCCCTGAATGGCTGACTTCGTATTGTGCAAAGTAACTTGGAGCATATATGGTAACCTGTCAGAATTGTTTCTTGTTGTAGCCCTTAGTTTTCCTGTAGCTGCTCTTGCCTTATATGCTTTCAAAACAGACCCATTACATGGAATGGCTTATACTGTCTGGCAGACAATTTCATGCTACAAGCAGAAGCAGCTGGGTGGGGAAGCTCCTTTAAACCATCCCATCGCTGCCATGGGCTCAGGCGCTTAACAAGGAACGAAACATTTGCCAGGATTCTCTTGTATGGAAAAGTCAGCTTATCTGCTTCCTAAGTTACAGCTGGATCTTATGGTGAATGACTCGGACACTTTTAAGTAGATACTTTTGGGTAGGGAAATCTACCTTCTCTTTCAGATCACAAGAAAGTTGGTATTTAAAAGGCTGCTGTTGTGCTATTGATGTACTGGTGTGATTCACGAAAAAGCTATTTATTTACATCAGATGTTCATCAAAATAAGATGTGACAAGTACAGCATGAATGATTCATTCTCATCTTTCTGTACTGCTTTCCTGTTAATCAAGAACCAGTAAGACGCATCCATCTGGGCTCTGGTTCCTCGTCTCTTCCTGTGTCATCTTCTTCCCCCCAAGCCTATTCAGCCAGGCTCTGGGCACTTGTGCTCTGCAGCACGCTCTTGCTGACTGAAAGCGCTGTTTCAATGATTCTGCTGGGTGGTCAAAGTCATGATGTTTTGCTCTTCATGAAGGAGAAGGGGCTGCAGCTATGCTGAACTCCTTGTGTAGGGTGTTTTTCTGTGGGGGAGAGGATGGAGAAATAGGCCTTTGACCCTTGGCTGGACTTTACCCGAGGACTTCAGATTCTAAACTCCAGGATTGTGCTTCTCGCTTTAGGAATATTTGGTGTTTGAAATCTTCTTCCAAAGCAAGGTCTTGAGGTTGTTCAGCACGAGGGAGTGATGAACTTCCATCTGGCTAGCCAAGCCACTGAGGGTCATACAAGTTCGGAGCTGCTTCTGCAGCTCTTCTTTCAAATCGGGTGGTGCTCCGTACAGCAAGTAGTCCTGCAGCAACCCACAGACTTTAGCCAGGTTGGGCTGCACCATATCACTTTTGCACTGCTTCATGAGTTTGTCACAAGTCGCCATACAGTCCTTCCCATAGGTGCAGTCCACGTTCTGCTCACAGTGACGTCCCTTGAGGAAACCTCTGATTGTCATCTCTGTTGCCACCTTTCTCAGATTGACCATTTTGAAGTCGTATTTGTCATTGTAGCCCACGTTCTTAAAGCTGGTCTCGCAGATGTAGAAGTTCCCATATGTCCCATGGAATATCTCCTCCACAAACTCCAGAAGGCCAATGGCAATTTTTGCCCGCCTGGGCCATGCTGGTGCAAACCACTGGTGGATGAGTCGGTGGATGACTGAAGGCAGTAGTGACTGGAGGAAGTGGGGGACATCTGTTCCGTAGAGGGAGTTGTGGGGGATCTTCTCTGTGATGTAGAGATCCCCGCAGTGCCCGAGGAGTTTGGAAGTATGTTCTTTCTCGTGCAAGGAGAGCATGAGAAGAAATTCATTGAGCTGAAGTAGTGCCCAGATGGATTTAGCCTCTGCTAAAGACACTTTCCCATCTCGGTTCACATCTGCCATAGTGATGATCTGGCTCACCAAGGCTGCAAGAGACGTCTGATCTCCTAGGTTGGACTGCAAACACAATAAGAAACGGCATCAGGCCCTTTAAGCTTTCTACGTTCAGGCTCAATATCGTGAAAGTGAATTGAGGAAGCAAAGAATTGAGTGCTTGGCTCGGAGGAAGACAGAATAGCCACAGTGGTAAAACAGACTTTGTGTTCTGTTACAGCTGGACTAGTTTTGCTCCAGCCTAATTGTAGCAGCCTAGGGGCTGCTCTAAACCCGATGGGAAAAATCCTTTTAGAGCACATACTGGGCAGGTCGTAGCCTAGCAGTTACAGCTGGCCTGAGATGAGGCTGAATCTGGCTCTCCTCAGAGCCTCGGATTTACATGACGTTATCACTGTAATAGAAACCCTGTGCTAAGGGCAGAGAGTACATGATACTGCTTAGGGAAAGGGGCTCAGCTGCAATTCAGAAACTTTGAAGTGTGAGACCATCGCTTTGCCAGTGACCCAGGCCCGGCAGGCCCTGCCATCGGCAGCAGGAGCAGCACAGCACGCCCCGAGAGCTGGGGCTCCTGGGCTACCGCGCGTGGTCTGGCCTCTTGAAAGATCACTCGCTTTTATAACGGAGGGCTTATCCTGCTCTCAGTCCTGTTGACAGAGAAACCTTATTTTTGCCACCCTGTTGTTCCCTGTGTCGCCTGTATTATACTGCATCATTGTGGCCGTTTGAGCTCTGAATGCGTTTTGTACAAGGAGTAACTTGCAGCGGCTCTTGGCTTGGAACGCTCCCTGGCGTTGCAGGGCCTCCCACGGTTTGGTGGATAAACTTTGCTGTGCGTGGATGTCGCTCACGGCCGCAGGACAGCAGCCTCCAGGGCTACTGACGACGGAAACCTTGCAAATAAGCGTTCCTATGCAAGAACAAAGTTTCTTCACGGCTAATCAGGTACTTGCTCTGCAATACCTCATCAGGAGCCATATCCTGCATCCACCCAGCTCTGACCAGAGACCTCTGGCCATAAAAGCCCTTATTTAAATGGAAGGGAAGCTGGGTTTAGCTTAGGCTCTTTACTACTAGGAAATAGCATTGCAGGTCTTAAAGGCTTCTGGAGGGATTTGCCACACTGACCTTCAGGAAATTCAGGAGCATTTCTTTGAACTCGTCCATGGATGTCCCTCGTGTCGGTTTGTCAAAGAGAACCACATCCCTCCTGGGCACAGAATCCGGGTTGCTGTCTGCCTTTAAGGCCTCTTCAATACCACATTTGATAATCACCTCTTTCTCCTTCCAGAGCCCACTGTAAACCTACAGCAAAGGAGAGAGAAACAGTAAAGACAGGGAAAACAACAGCAAATGAAGACAGGAGGGAGC